TGGTAGTCAGGTGTAGTGCTGCTAGTAGCAAATTAGCTACTAATAGTAGCAATGCACTTGTTCCTAGTAGCGATACACTCAGCTACCTGGAAGACTAGCATGGACCCTGAAAACCATTGGTTGGTAGAGGAATACATATAGTCTTTCAAAGGTCCATTTTCAGGTTCCATGATGTTCCATGTTAATCTTCCCAGGTGTATGTTCCCAGTTTAGGCTGGGGTTTGGCTACAAAACTCCTCACAAAACTGCCGCACTCCCGAAGGAACTCTCTCCATCTTTCAACACACTTGGCCCACTTGGCTATAGGATCAGTTAAGCACAAAACTACCATACTCCTGAAACCTGAAATCTTGCTACAATCTCCCCAATGTCCTTGTCATCATGTCATCCTCTTTAAGCCTTCGACGCGAAGCACCTCTGCTCAATCCAGACGCCTCTCCCAACATCACCCAACAACCCCCAACTCCCCAACCCCATGCGGCTCAAGACATGATTTGTGGCTTGAGCGGCCTTGATGGTCTGAGAGGCCTCCTCTTCTTCGGTCAAACCAGTGAGATTCGTCAGGCTTCCGAAGTCCATGGCACGGGATCCTTCGAGGTTCACCGGATCCTTCGCTTTCACCGGCCGGGCCGTTGCTTGCCGGCTTGCTCGGCCGTTCACTGCGCGTGGTCTCGATCGTGTCTGGGTCGGGTGGCCCCTGTGGGGGGGCCAAGAAAGTAGGTGCACCTCCCGGTGCGAGACGTCGGGGCTGAATTGAATATCTACTGTGTGGGTTTGCTTTCGGTCCCGATTTTAAGGAAACTGCACTGGAAACGGCAACCAAGCTGAATTGAGCTTAGGCGAAATATAGGTCAACATATATACCCTGGATGCAATCAACATCCAACCTACCAAGCTGGTCCTGATATTCTACGAAATATGCAACCAACACGGTCTCCATTAGTCCACTGTCCACAACTTATTGACAGGTCTTGCAGAGTTCGTCAGGTAGGTCAGCTTGACTTATTGAGCTTTAAATGGCTCAAAGGCTAGGATTCCACGACACTGCTGAGTTCATCCCCACTGCTGAGCTCTCCCCTTTGGGGAGAGCCGTCCATCGGGCCTCCCCCCTTAGGAGACGGCGTGGCACGGCGGTCCTGTTTTTCAAACCCCCCCCTCCCTCGGCCGAAAAGGTTCAGAGTGCGAAAGCCGACTTTCCCTCAGCCCTTTCAGCTTGCAAACAAGCGTGTCCGGCTGCGGCACCCAACTAAAATAAACAAAAGCAAAAAACGACCACCTTGGCCCAGCGGAAGTCTCAATCCACAGACCTTCTCAGGTCAAGTACGACCTCTACCCGCCTTGTGTCATCGTCCTCTCCGTTCGGGGTCGAAGACATCACCCTCTCAAAGGGTGGATCCATAAGGTTCTCAACATCTATCACAAGGTGCCTCTTCAGGACAGGGCTAGTGAGTGACTCGTGTGGATGCACACATGCGCGCCGTTTCACCAACAGTTGTTCCATCCTAATCCAGGTGAGTGTCCGCCTATCTATTTTCTCCAGGGGAGCATGATCTTCCGACACCGGACCAGGCCTCTCAGTGGCCACACAAGGTCGAATTTGAAGAAGGTCTTCAGTCTTCTGACACATGTTGGGTGATTCTCTTGCAGCCCCGCCTTAGACACAGGCTCCCTCCATCTCCCTCCCACTGCACCCCTAGCTTTGAGCGCTTCGCAGATTCCCCAGCCACTTTGGCCAACAGAACCTGCGACAGGTGTGCGCTTCGTTACCGTGACCCATTTGCCAGCTGCCTCCCTAAAGTACACAAGGTGATCACGTTGCATCAGGACTGCAGGACACAAGTGATCCATACTCGGTCTGCCTCTTTTGCCATAGCGTACTTGCTCAAACCATACTTATATGTGACTCTTTCTCCATCCTTATCCCGATCTCTTGATAATGAATGCACAGTCCAACCATGCCACTAAAGATGAGTGTGGTGGGGAAAAATTGCTTCATCAACACCCGTGAGAGGATCTTCGAGGGATCGTTGCTCGCAGAAATGTGCAAACCCAGTCGAATCCCGTGCTGGGGTCCCCAAACCACTTCCACCCGAAAGCTTCAAATGGAAATGGTCCAACACGGTCAGCTATGCCCAGCTCATCGTCTGAGGCCGATACTTCTCCAAAGGAGCCTCGCCCCAGAAGTCGAGCCACCTGCGACATGCTCGGCACATCCAAGGCTCCCCCTCACCACGTGGCTTGTTGCGTATCTGAGTCTGCAGCGCAGCTGGGCCATCTGCCAACATAGCTTGGTAGGCGTAGGGTTGCCAGATGGAAGAGTATTATTGGGGCTGGTCCCATTAACACAATCTAGTGGATGATCATTTGTGTGACCATAATGCAAGTGTATTCCATGCATGCGGTGTCTGGGGTTGGAAAGGCTCCCAGAATCCCTGGATGTCTCTGGGAAGGACAACCCTGCCAGGGCCAGGTAACCTGGCCGCCAAAATATCCTCTTCAATGGGTCCCTTGGATTGCCTTAAGAAATCCACAAAGACAAATATTCCCCGAGTTTCTTCACTCAGTTTGGCAAAATAAACATCACCAGGTCCCCCGAGAAAAAAACAAAAAACGCAACATTGAAATCAAGAAACATGATGACGTCGGGCTCGATGAATTTCGATCCTCCCAAGGCATTGCCGGTCGAGTCGGAAAACTAACGAGGGCCTGAAACCACCCAGAAAAGCCACCCAAGTCCCAACGACACTTCACACATCTTCACACCTGCACGGAGGACTCGAAACTGGGCCTGGAAGACGAAGACTGGCCGCGCAACGACGAAACACCAACGGTGCGACCGTGCGGAGGGGGTTTAAACATGAGTTTTAACCACAAATTGGCTCTCAAAACCGCCTCTTGGCTCTTGAAAAACAACCTATTGGCTCCTAACATGACCTTTGGTGTCCCAAAACGACCTATATTGGCTCCTGTGGGCTCCTAAAGCGACCTAGAATGGCTCCTAAAACGACCTATATTGGCTACCCAAAAGAGGAGGGATATCCTCCAGGTAGTCAACGATCCGGTGCCAAGTACCGTGTGCATCCAAGTACCCTGTTTTAGAGCCATCGCCGACATCATCTACAACCCAAGTCTTCCATTGTGCCTACTAAAGTCTTAGGGAGTAAAAGTCCACAAGCGTTATTATATACTTACTTTGTTTCTTGTCTTTTATATAGTCTTTACACTTTGCCACATGCGTGTTGCATCCTGTTGTCAAATGACCAAAGGAGCTGGCAGCTCATCAGCTAAGCAGACATTTGGTATTCCAGTAGCAGCACTCAATCACTCAGCAAGCAACTTATTTGATTGCCAATAATGGCCTGCTAGCACCTGTTCCCTATAATGATTGAGTGTTTTTGCCAACTGTTGCCGAACATGCTCAGGTTGCAAAGTTATAAAGTTCCAAAGCAAATCAGCTATCAAAGCTGTCGCTCCTATCGCCGGTGGCCAATCGCCAGCTGGGTAAACATATGCACCCTCCCTGAAACCATCATGGTTACGTGGACGATGGCCCCTTGAAACTTCCATGATTGTTGCAGGGAGGGTGAACATCCACCCATCTGAGTCGGGTGTGTCAGCTCTGATTGATGGAAGCTGACTGAGATCTCGTGCTATTCCATGGGTACGTTTCTTTGTGTGGAGTTTGTTTTCCCATGAGTAGCGCGCGGTTACATGATGAAACCATAAGACTGTCTACTCTCCTAACTAAACAAACATTGAGTTTGTGAGAAGTGTTCAATGAAAATGGTATTTGAGCATCGCACAAAACCATACAAAACCTGAAGCCAGGCCCTTCAAGATAGTTTGGTTCCTGATAGTAAATGTCATCATGGAGGGCGCATGCGGCCCATGTGAACAAAAGGAAAATAGATGGAACATGATGGAACACACCACCACATGGAACTGACACCACTCTTCAACTGGCTGTTGGTCCTGGCGCCAGGATGCCTTGGTTGACCTACCTGGAAGGTCAAACTACATGGTGCAGGTTTGGTCCATCTCCCACGGAGGATGACCAGGCGGGTATGCATTGTTTGGTCCAACTAAAGGGATCCATGAAAATACACACCGAGCTAGCCAGTGGTTGGGGAACTCCCTGTAGCTCATGGGCTCGCTACTTAAAAAGCAATGTGGACACCCCCGGCAGCATCTTTAGCTCCCTGCTAAGCACACAAGCTAGCTACGGCTGACTGTTGTTGAATCCACAAAGATGGAGGTGTAGAACCATCTTGAGGACGGGACGCATTTCACCAATCACGGGTGGGATGACGTTCCCCCGTCCACGTTGTCGCTTTCCTCACCTCCATGGGCTCAACGTTTCCATGGGCAAGGACGGCAGGACTTACATCGAAACATCTACGGGTGAACAGCGGGAATTGCTGATCTCTCGTCCTGCTTGTCGTTATTGCTGTTTGTGGCGGTGGTGCATGGCATGTTGGTGAATTTTTTAGAGGCCAACGAGTGGGGGATCAAAGCAGCAAAGAAACGTGATGTTCATGGCGCCAGGGATGGTGGGTTGCACACTGCTCCTGCACTCATCCCGCTTCGTGAGATCATGTTGTGGGGCTTGCGAAATCCACATCCGAGCGCCAGTCATTTTCTGTCAACATTGAAGGCAGGTGGGTTGCGCCAAGAAAGGTTCTCTGACAGGGCGGTCATAATCATGCAAGGCATCTATAACGTTGTTTGCAGCTGCACAAAATGGCGGCAGTCGATGCATAAATGCTAAACTAAATCCAAGGTTCACGGGACAGATTATTTCAATCGCAGTGGCAACAATTGATGATGTCAAAAATGCAACGTCCCTTGTAAAGCACTACAAGCATCACCAATGCTAGCACTAGATTGCGGCTAGAACAAATCTAAGTCAGTGTGGCACGATGGACGCTGTATCAAGACATATGCGCCCTTGAGAACTCGCAAGAACTTGGAAACGGCGAGCTAGACGGACAATCCTTTTCCACAAGAGGGCACCACTTTGGCCTCTCACAGCTGCGCCAGGCTCCTTAACCTTCAGCCAAACGGTTCTTTTAGCCCGGACTGGTGTGAGGTGAGCTCTATTTTGATCTATTTTGCTTTGATGAGGGCTCCTTTGATACACATTCAGCCAGGCCAGGGTCTCTGTGATTCTGACTTATACAAATCAATGCCTGGTCAATTGCACTCCTTTTGGCATACCGGTGCCTGTTTCAAAGCATTCCAATGGGCTACCCACTGCATGGCACACGGCCACAAGGCTTGAATGGAGGAAGCACCACCCTGTGACTGCAACCAAGTAGATCTCAGCAGTCCATCTGCTCAATTCACATGAAACGACCAGTGAAAGTTCTTACACCATGAAAGAAGGATGTGTCCAAGAACAACATGTTGAACAAGCAACAAGGACAAAGAAGACCAGTGGACCAAGCCACGAGAAACATCAATCAATGAATTTCATGGGACCCCTAAGATCCCTAAGGGGTGTCGAATCCTAGCCTCTGATGTTCTCAGATGGTGTCCATGCACCACCCCAAACCGGGGGCCCTGATGCATCCCGACCTCGCATGAATCCACTCACCCCATCCAAGGTGCAGTTGCTGAACTCCATACTTCACGCCCGGTGCTGACCAGGCAGCCATGTTCCAGGACCTTCAGTTGGACTGGACCATCCTCCGAAGCTATTGAATGCGACATCTTTAGCCCACCCAACCAGAAACGTCCGCACCTGTAAAGGACTTCAATGTCGTAGAGCCGTAGAGCATACAACTTTACGACCCATGGGATTATCATGGATCATCTGATAAGGAAAACAAAAATCAACCTACGTAAGCAATTTCGCGCTTCGAGGCCTCCCAAGGTCAGGAGGGTCCGGCTTGCTGCTTGATGCGCTTGATGAAGGTCCGGTTTTGGAGGTCCGGTTGAAGGTGGTTCGTTCGAAGGTTCCAGCCCAAAGCTCCGGCCATTTGAGTTCTTGACATGATGTGGTGCAGGAGTTGGACAGTCCTGGTCCACTATCCCTATCCAAGGAATGGATAGGTCTTCGAGCGTCAACCATCCACAATTTTGGCACTCCTAGCTACACCCTAACTCACCAACATGGAAGTGGATGGCATGGTCCCTTGGAAGACGACTTTCCTTTGCAAACACGCGTGGCCCCATAGCATACACATACCCTGACAAATGACGTCCTCATTAGGAGCAAGTGACCCGATCGACAGCATCTGCCAGAGTTTGTAGACAAAGCGCACCTTCTCCTTGAGCCCATGGTGGGATTTTGGTTTGGGGAGATTCAAGCACACCATGCATGACCTTCCACACCAAATTCCAAGTTCATACAAGTGTCAATTCTAGGTGTTTCCAGGCCACCCTTGAACATGGAGCAAGTGCCACAGCAAGGAGTTCAAAGGGTTTACAAGTCATTCTGGACCTCTGTGACGTCCTTCGTTACAAGCCTGTTTGGGCCTTAAAAAACGGGACTCCCAGCAGGGCGTCGAATCTGGGATCTCCCTACGCAATGCACCTCTTAGGCGTCTCATCCCAGATCTTTATTATCTACTGTATCATGTCACCACCTTCCCTCCAAACTCACATGGCAGCCCAGGTCAGCAGGTTGTGACGATCAACTTGCTGCATATGACTGCACATGATCTAAGGATGGGGAAAAGATGTAGGTGGTTGCGATCTGAGTTCGGGAGACTTAGCTTGTCTATGCTTATCTTAGTTTCTATATACAGGAGTCCACATCTCCCCATGGTTCCTCAAGGACCTCTCCACTCTCCACAGCCTTCACTCAAAGATTGCCTGCAAACTCGTAACTCGTAAAAATTACCCCGCCAGACATGGATTGCCAAAACCTCTTCATGTGGAGGCTTATTGATCAAGAGGGTTCAAGAGGAATACATGAATCATAGTTTCGACCTCACGTTTCCAAAGGACATCGGCGACATCGTGGCGACAGCGACCTCACCCAGGCCTACCAGCCGCCTCCAACGAACCGATCAACGCACGAAGCCGCAACTCGTCTCCAGGTAGAGCTCGTGTGGGCTTGTTGGGTCAAAGCCTGGATTTTTCGTCAATGAGAGGGCGCACTGGTCGACGCGTGCAACACATCGAGCATCCTTTGCGCTACGATCCGCTGAAACCCATGTGCCTTTGACGCATCTCAGTGTTTCTACAATCCCAAAACGCCAGCTACCAGTCATGAAATGTGCTTAAAATTGCTTTTGGCAAGGTTTCTGTTCAACGGATCGGAGTTCACGCGTGGTGTTCTCACTCATGATGACAGCCAAACATGGGTTGTCCTCAGCCGCGGAAGTCACGGCATAGTCGGAAAAAACTTGTGTTCCCCAATGGAAACACGACGCCAGGAGGGGGGGGCCCGGCATAGTCCTTGCAAAACCAGCTTCCCGCTTCGGCAATGTTTTTGATGTGTGCTGAAAGCCCTTCCTTGGCAATTGTCATGTGTTCAGAACAAACTTCTTACATGCACACGCAATGATTTAGCAATGATGTTATTAATCTCCTTCTGGTCCCTTGACATCTCTTTGAACCAGGCTCTGGGCACTTTACTTGAAGCATCCTAAGTCACACAAGTTGCAAAAAGGTACCGCGGAACAAGGGTGAACGAGAGGGTGCACGAGGTCAGCACCCATGCCAGCAAGGAAAGCCCCCACAATGAAAACCTCTAGTTACCTCATCATGTATATGAGCACATCCCCTTTCTTTCTTTCTTTCTTGTCGCCCCGCTTGTCTGCTGTGATCGGCGTTTTGTATGCCGCTGCTGCCTCGTCTCCTGTTTCCCCACCTGTCTCCCCACTTGTTTTCCTGCGCAATCGGCGTTTTGCTTGATCGGCGTTTTGTTTGCCGCTGCTGCCTTGTCCTCCCCAACCAAACGCGACACCGCCACGCCAACCAAACGCGACACCGCCACGACATCCATGCATTCAAATCCCAATGGAAACGCTTCAAAAGCACAAAACCGCCACGACTTCAACATTGGATTGTACATCTTATATGTTTTTCTTACTCCGGTGGCTCCCATTCTGTCTCGATAAATGATCCGACGACGCTCGGACCTGAAGACGCAGCGACCCCTTTTTCCACCGCACGGGGCCGCCGGCCTGCCGCCGGGCCCCAGCGACTGGCATTCCTGGTGCCGGGATGGAGCGAAAGGTGAGGGGGACCAAAACCAAGGAATCAACAAAAGCGTTTGAGCAGTGAGCTCTCACCAAACATCCAGTGAGCTCACTGCTTTTTTGGGTCATTTCTTTTCTGATCCAGTGAAATCTTGGCATACCGAGCTCTAACAAAAACTGACCCGAAAACGCATGATCTTTTCCCAAAGGGCTTCCAGTAATATCTGTCCAAGCCAGTAGTGGTGGAAAACTCAAGGGTTATATGAAGAGGACACTTGCACGTGTAGCTTACACCAAAGCAGGTGTGAAACATGTTCGGCATACAGCCAGAACAAGTTAATCCTCATCAGAACCCTTTAAAAGGAGGTCACGGTCCTCACACATCAACCCAAAACATGAAACCTCCAAAAATGAGTTGTTCACCACCAAGACCAGACTGCCTTGAGATCCTGGCGATATTTGGATTATCTTTAGGAACGATAGGGTTTGGTTTTCCCAAGCTACCATCTACACTTATATCAAGTATATGATTAATAAACCCCTCTAGTTAAACCGAGCCCACACAGCCCCGAAAATTCACCCAAATTGAAAGTATTATTGGAGCTAAATTCCACCCTAATAGTGTACTTGTCATCTAGAAACCCTCCCAATCAAACCGAGCCAGACAACCCAGAAAATATAGTTACTTAATTTTAGTTATTAGATTAACATAGATTAACTAAGCACAATCCCAAAACCTATTCAGGCCTCATGCTCATCAGTCAATCCCTTCTCAAAACCCCAGGTATCAACTTTCATGGTCTAATGGCCTCATAGCATATTATTCAGGGGGAGTGGACCTCATGAATGGTAACCTTAGACCTTCTGGATCTTGTTGACCTTCTATGTGGGGGGGGGCGGTTTATTAATCCGGGGTTTGCATTACATCTGCCCGCCCCAATTGACAAAGACTCTCTGCATCCCAAACTCCTGCTTTCTAGCAAATAAATCAGTGGACTCCTTCACGTCAGTTCCACTCTCCCCGGCTGATGTCTAGCCCAGGTGGCTGCAATCCCACCAGCAACTGCATATAGGCGATCAGCGCCACCTAGGGCGCTACCCGGCCAATTGGACCGAAACGTGTGCGGTGCGACTCGACTCGCAAAGGAATGGTGCGGGAAGTTTCGCCCCCCAGGAGATTTGCGAGGAAGTTTCGCCAGTCTATAGTGAGGATTTTTTTAGGGGTTCTGGAACAGGTCTCAAATGGTCGCATCGTCGGTCCTTCTCTTCTGCCTACCGTAGGTTGAAGCCTTTCCATGTTCGGCCTACCCAGGATTTGTCCAATTCTCGAGATGGGGTCGGCTTGGTGGATGCTGAGTTTCATGGTGGATGCTGAGTTTCATGGCCTCGGCTCGGCGGAAAAGCAGGTAGTCCTGTTGTGCCAGATGTGAGGCTTCCAAGAGGACCAAATCTCATCAGTTGTGTGCCGCTCCCACTGCTCGGTGCGGCCAGGTCACAGGTGGACATGACCACGCTGACTCTTGCCAAGCATCTGCAGCGTGAAGGGGGGCCATGGGGTGCTAAAAAGATTTGAGGGGCCAAGGGGGTCGATCAAGAAGAAGGGAGAAAAGGATCAGAGATGTGTGCGCAGAAATGGAGTACAATTTCATAACTGAAGCAAACTAACCCTCCCAAATTTCAAGTGCCCGATGTTTTTCTCCTGATCCTGATGGAAGAACACTACTACAACGCGAGGTCCCTTTCTGGGTGAGGGAACAGATGTTTGGAGCAAAAGGGACTGCAAAGTGGTCCGAAATGACTGTACTCTTATGAAAACGACCAATCATGACCAATCCTTCAATCTAGAAATCTTTACTCATTACGCTCATTATAACTCCTGCTGAGAAACCTGTCAGACAGTCGCATCAGTTTCGCAGCCTACCTGGCTAGCGTTGGAAACGAGCCCTAGATGCTCCACCCACTTCCTAGTAAAAGGACTTAATTACTGCAGAGCCGCGGAAGGACCAACTTCTATGGTTCCTCCATGCATTCTGCAAACCCTGATCATAGCTCCATCCCGGACTTCGCACCCATCCCCAACACCCACAGCGCGGCACATTCGATCAAATCGCGGGTGACCAGCACTGCCGACGTCCTGGATCGTGCGGACCCCCTGAGGCGCTAGGAGCCTCCAAAGTAGAGAGTGGGACATGAGCCATCATGAGCATCTAATCAACCAAGATTGCTCTGCCATTTATCAGGTCGCCCAAGGTGTTGGTTCAGAAAGGTGGTCCACCTAGAGGAAAAGAAGTTCAGCGATACGCCACGGGTATCGTTTTCCGAGGTACTTACAGTCTTCTGGTACATACTGCAGGTACCAATGCACCCCCGAGAAATGAAGGTGCATAGAAACCATAGGAGACTGGGCGGATCCGTTCTTCCTTTTATGTCAAATGCAAGTTGGACCATGTGACGGCGCCAACCTGCAATCCCTTTTGCAAAGAACCTGGTTAAGTGAACAAACATTAATCATTCATGTCCTTGTGGGGTCCCGCAAATGGAGGGTTGGAACACTGCAAGCACTCTGTTTGCTCTGTTTTGCTCCAGGCTGCCCCACCTCTCTTCTCCAAAGGGCAAAACGGTGTTGACAATGGCCATTCCGCTGCCATATCTAGGAGAGCCACGCTGGCCTGCATTGAGGTAAAGCCACTAGGCGCGGCTCATCACCAGCTCAGAACCACCAAACATTACCCCCGCTGAATCCTTCGACAAGTGTCACCCCCAACATCTGACCAAAATCACCGCCACACTGCAATTGACAAAGGTAGAAGTCCAATTAAGCCGAAAACATAGCGTTTTGGGAGGAAGGAGCCGCCTCTTCAAAAGGGATTTGTGGTCTCATTTCCGCTACGTCAGCAGTCCCAACCTATGACTCGAACGTCCCCCCCAAAAAAACTGCTGCAGGGCCGTGCAGAGCGAATTGGACCTGTAGCAGGCAAAACCATAGGAAAGAGCTTCCAAAGACCACCTGGAAGAAGGGAAATGGACCAAAACTGTCGAAGACCCATTGGCTGGGTGTCTCCATTGGCTGGCTGGGTGATACCTTGAACCGCCTGCAACTCGGAGCCCCGCACGCGGACCCGCGCTTATTCACGATGATCGATGATCAAGCACCACCTGTGTTGCCCAACTCACACAGCAGCAAAAAGGTTGTTCGGAAAAGCCATCTTGAACAGGATGTTTGTACCATGCAGTCTGGATTCAACATCATCGATTCTAGCGTACATCGCTCATGTCCGAAGGAATCTGTATATGGCTCCCCTGGATTTAATTTTATCCGGCTGGTGCAGGTCTTGAGCCGTAACGAATGATCTTCAATCGGGGGTCCTATCTTTACTCCTTGGTTGGCTTCAAATCTTCCAGCATCTGCCAGCCGGCATAGCCCATGTGGACTGGGGGGGCGGCTTTCAAACTTGATCATGGTGGAACACCCAAGTGCAGCACCAACCATTTGGACCTTCCAGCTCGCCGACCAAGTGCCACCACGGGACCGCCACGTCTCCCGGACTCCACGCCGTGGACGGCCTTCGCGTCGGGCATCCACGCTGCAGTCGAAGAAGCTCCGGCTCGAGGCCGCGGAGACTTTGGTCTGGCGCAGGCCCCCGGCGTCCGGTCCGGACGGGTCGGCGCCCTTTCGGCGCCCTTTCGGCGCTCACCCGTCATGGAGAAGACGGAAGACAATCAGGGTGATGGACTTGGAGTGAGACCGTGAGACCTTCACCTGAAGACCTTCTTCCTCAGTGGATGAAAGAAACCTGCACCTCAAGGCCATGGAAGAAGTGCTGGAGCTCCCCTTCGGACGGCAACGACCTGCGAAGCGCACGGAACTGGTGCACCACCGTTGGTTGTCCAAGTCGCATTGGTCACCAGTGCTGATTGAGTGTGCATGATACGTTGGGAAGTGTAGGTCGGAAGGCATTTGTTGATGCTTTTTGGGCGAAAGGGCTACCTATCCAATCAGTGCATGGACCCAATCAGTGCATGGACGGCAACCCCATATTACCCTCCCCTACCCATGAAGCTCCTAGAAACTGAGACTCGTTTCCACCACCGGGCACAGGCACCGCAGGCACCGCGGCCACGTCCCAAGCTGCTCAGGTCTCCGAGCGAGGAGAGGGGAAAAAGCCCGAGCCTCGGATCGCCCAAAGATCCGATCTGGATGACTCTCAAACCCACCCCCCATGTCCATTGAAAAACCGAAGAAAACCCTGCGAATTCATATGGGGAGGACGATCAACCCAATCAAGAGTCGATCGTTTTTTTTGGCGGGCGAAATGTCATGCAACTGCTTGATCCAACAAAGCGAACACAGGGGAGCCCTTTTTGAGTTTACACTCTGCAAGGTTTGCCCGTGGATGCACACGTGCAAGCCCTTTCTCAACCCAATTGTTGAAACAGGAAGATAACTTCTCTCAAAAGCTCCATCATCCGCTCTTAAGCAAGGGAACAAGTTCAAAGAACGTATGGATATCGCATTGATATATGTATTGCTGCTATTTTAGTAGGGAACCTAGTGATTACTCACAACAATGTAAGGCTTTGAGACGGACTCACCATTCGTTACGGACTCACTGGGCCCCGTGGCCCGCACGACAAACGCTGTGGGGGGGCCAACATCTCCGAGCAACTCGTATTCCTCCAGATCCACACGTGGCAAGCGTGGGAAGTAACTCGCGGTCTCACCTGGAAACGGTCATATCACGTCCATGAACAAGGAGGCGTTTTCAGGGCATCCCAAAAAGCCCACCAATTAGTCATTTAGGTGTTTCATTGTTTCTTTGTTATCTCCGGAATTTCTGTTTTGCTGTTCTGTACCTCACATGATGAAAGTAGAAATTGCTGTGGTCATCGTCAGTCATCGCATTTTTGGCGTTCCCAAAACAACAAACACCATCCAATATCAGCCAACAGGCAAAATAGACATGGAACCGCACTTTACATCCGGCGGCGTGCAATGGCAAATGATGGCACTGGCAAGACCAGTTGAGTGAGTCGAATGATCCTTTCTCATGACCACGCCTGAACGACTATGCTTAACTATGTTTACTCTTTTGATTGTACTGGTTTTGGTCTGAACTCTGTTGTTCCAAGATGGAAACAAGCGTACATTTCAAGCATGGTGGCTTTTCTAGAAGTATTTAGTAGGAAAATGTAGGAAAAAAAGCTTGCTTGTGTAGCTCAAGGACTCTAGGAACGGAAAACAATTTTCCTACACCAGAAGGTGTTTTTGTCGTGCGAGTACAAGTAGCCCATGTGGCCACCAGGACTGTTTTCCCCCCAGGCGCAGGTCAGTAAAACTGCGTGGAGCCCCTTCACGTGGATGCAAACTTACACGATCTTAAGCATATCAAGACAGGCTACCCTTGACAAGGGAGGAGATAGAACATTTGGCCATCCAAAGTGAGAGCAAATTTTCTTTGCCGCGCGTCCCTGCGTTTTTGTGATGCCCGTATGTAACTTGAGACCATCTGTGCAAAGGTCCTCCTGAGTGCATAGTCGTCAGGTAGACTGTTGATTGATCACACCCTCCAATTGAGATATAAAAGCATTTTGAAAGGTGGGGGTTATTTAATCAAAAGTCTGGTTTTGTGGCCGAGACTCGCTGACTCACTGCCGACCCTCCTTCGCTACTGCCGACTCACTCCCGCTTGCCCTGCGGGGGGTTCACCCTCCAGCGCCTGTGCGGTTGGCGGCGTAGCGGAGCGATCCAATGAGCGCAGAGAGGGAGGACCTGCGGCCGTGGGATGGATGGTTCTCGGTGGTCAGTGATCAGGTTCCCTGGCCGCGAAGGAGGCGCGCGCCGCCCCAAATAGACCAAAACACCAATCGAAGGATCAGAGATTTCATGGGAAGAAGGCTGGGAGGTCAGTGCTCCAACGGGACCCCCCTTGATTTGATCTTTTGGACCCCCCCTTGGATCGACGCTCCAAGCTGGAACAACACCGGAATCTGGGGGATGTTCTGAGGCACGAAGAAGAATCCCGTGTGCCGTCAGGCTCCGCATTATAACATGACCACCCAGAATGAACAGAATACACTACCTGGGAGGTCAAGCTACAAGGGTTTGGGGTTCCAGGTTATGACTCACAGCCACATACCAAGAAATTCCAAGACATCCGTCTCGAAGTGCGCATCCGTAGGTCCGTAGCGATCAAAAGATTGGAAGTGGAGCCTCTGGTGAGGCGCAGCTGCGATCCCAAAGAAGATGGTGAGGCGTCTTTCGCATCTGCAAGGTTCGTTCTAAGATCTTGAGTGAGGACTGAGATCCTGAACCTTAGGCTAGCAAACTCCCCCCCCCAAAAGTCATGGAACATCACGGACCTACACTCCCTGGAATTGTCATGCTTACGTGGATGGCATGGCCCCTTGGATTACCAGTTTCCTTTACACATAAGTGCTTGTCCACTTTCATTATTAGTCCAAGGAGTGTATATACATACACACACACACATATATATATATATATATTATGCAATTAATAGTCATATATATATATAGGTCTTGAGATGTCATTGAGTCTCCCCTTCTGCGGGGAGACTCAATGACACTCCTCCTCTGTCGCGGGTGCCGTGCCGAACCGTGAACCAGTTCCGAACCGTGGAGCGAGTGACGCCTTCACCTCCCCGGTGCAGCCGATGGTCGTCGGATGGGTCGGTGGAGCATTCGGTGATATGTCTTTTATGTGTGGACCGAAGAGCAGAAACCACGAGAGGTGTGCCACGTGTTTATTGAAAGGAAATCAAATTGGAAATTGGTTGGATCTGGTACCATCTCCGCTCGATTGAATTTCTGGACTTAGTGATGGACCGAACACCAAAATCTGGGTCTGCAGACCGTACTTTGGATTCAAACATCTCGTTGGAGGTCGACTTGCCATGTCTTTTGGCGGAAGTCTTGCAAGATCTTGCGGGACATGTTACCCCCCCCAGTCCAGTCTGAATGTAATGTTTCTCTCTCCACGGTCAAGATGTCCTAGTCATAGTCATGATATCATGAGCATTTTGGACACTTCTGGACATCCGCGGCAAACACCTGGCGCTGATCCACATGTAGCTCTGAATCAACGTATCGCCGTTTCATCCATAACTCACCGCATGGAGAGTTCATGGCATAATCCCGTTTGGTGGTTTACATGGACCCCCAAACTTGAGGATTCATGTAGGTGTAAGGTGCCAACGAACCTTAGAACCCACTAAAAAGCTTCTGACCCCTCCCATCCACCCTCTTCACCGCCGTGTCACGTGGCAGTCCCCAGGAAGTGGCTCGCTCGCGCGCAGATCGTCACGTCAATCGCCACATGCGCCGAACTGGGGCCTAGGAAGGCCAGTGCCCGTTCCACATACGGTCCATTAAATGCCAAGGGTTCCAAATTCGCCCAAAAACTATGATATGCGAGACACAGATGCACACATACCCGTCTAAGTATGTATTCGTGCATGTATGTAACTGTATGAAACATTAGCCAGGTGTTCATAGGCTTTTCACATCTGTTCTTGAGTCTTTGGAGTGCCTCTCCCATGGCTAGTGCATGAACCCAGTGACTATAACATCAACCCATGGGTTTGGGATGTTTTGATTGGACTCATTTGAGCCACTCTAAAAACCTGGAGTCACTCCCTATGTCGTATCACTTTCCTTGCGCGAGGCCTTACGCGCTGCTTACGCGGCCCTCACTTTTGCTTACGCAGAGCAAACTTCCGAAATGCTTATGCGAAATGCTTACGCAATCTTACGCAACCCAGGGTATTGCTTACGCGGAATTCGATATGACAAGGTCCTTACTTAAGATGTAAAGGCAGGTTTTTAGAGCGGCTCATTTGAAGCCAAACATTTGCGGCACACTCAGCGGCCAACCTAGGGTTTTGTAGCTCAGCCCACGGATCAAGCGAAAAGGACGGTGCGACCTGATGATCAAGGCCCTGCAAAAACTGTTCAGCAACTACAACTCCAAGACACTTGGCATTGTATAACTCCATGGTTGGACAAAGGTAATCTTCCCAGGCTTAGCACATGGCAGTTTCCAAACCATTGACCTGAAGTCATTTAGAGCATCATTAGAGTTTTGAATGATGTTCCACATCTCAAGCATCGCAAGTTTCTTCTTTCTACTACTGTCTCATCATGGCCATCACAGATCACAGTAGGCTCCCTCAGTTCACATGAATGTGTGTTCTCTACAGCTCCCCCATTCTGGCATCCACGTGAAACATCGTGAAACTTACAAAGCTCAACCCAATGGTGCTCAGGTTTGATCTTAGGTTCTTACTAGCAAGAGGTTGAAGGAGCCCCGCGGAGGTAACAATATGAACCGCGGACCGCTGGGCTGCGCCACCACCATGCGTTGGCTTGGTGTCCTGCACGTGTGCGGCTCGGCGGTTTTTGGCGTCTCCGGACAACAGCGGTCGGTTCCTCGGTTTGTCTGTGACGAATTTGAAAGGCAGCGGTTTTTTGGAGAGCAATGCATCTTTGAACTCATCTTTGATGTTCAGGTTTTTGAGATCCTCAATGCGCGGATAAAGCGCACCCATGGTCAACATGGGAGCAGCTCAATTCTAAACTCCTGGCGCTAACAGTTTCTTCAAAGACTTCGAACCTCTTCGAAAACGTTTGCGCTGGTCTGCAATATTCACGTGTCGCATCCGCACTCGTCCATGCCATGCACCCCAAGAAAGAAAATGGATTTGCTGGTACGGAGGATTCCTTCCGGTGTTGTCCAACCTGCCTCCCTCAGGTACGAAAACTGACCTTCTGGTACTTGTTAGATCTTGTTAGGAGCAAACTAACTATGACATACTATGACTCTGTGGTGTTGTCCAACCGAGTCCACCCACCCACCCACGAACATCGTCGGACAGTCCGCCCTCCGGTACAGTCGCTGCAGCGTGGTGTTTGTTCGCTCCTAGGGAGGTCCAACCAACGAAGAAACACCATCTCTCACATCTCCTCCGATCCGGAGCTCCCTCCCAGGTTGCTGCTGGGCGCCTCATGTCTTTATCACGGGTCCTCCGACGTGATCACGTGCAGGTCCAAGTCGTTGAGCATCTGCAGGAGCCTCTGGGTGTTGTTCTCCTGGTTGGTCCGCGACGGACTGGAAGGAACCACGGGCTCAAGCCGGTCTTGCTGGCAGGAAGTGCGTTCATCCCCCCGGGTGAAGTTGTATTAGGAGAGCTTTGAAAACCAGACTCCTGGAGGACGCAAGGCGCTTGATGCTTTAAAGAGCCCAGTAGTACAAAAACTATTGATATGCTTTGCAGCCAGGTGTTCTGATTGCTGTTCTCATGGGATACGATGCATAGCACGTGGCAAATGGACTATAAGAAGTTTCCAAACGATTGACATGGATGCACACGGATGCACAAAACAAATGTCTATGTCAGTCCGCAGAGATCAACATCCTTGCCTAAACCTTTGGCAATCATCACTTGCTCTTTAGGAGACTTAATCAACAGCGACTTAAGGCTCACTTCATGATGATGTATACGTGATACAGAACACATCCAAAGGGTCCTCTCCCGTCGCCCGGTCCTGCACTGATTCCGAGGCCAAGAACACGCCGGGTGGCCGGCCCCACCTGGCAGGCTTGTTTCCTCAGAAAGTTAAAGACCATGGAAAGGCCCTAATGTAGGCTCTTCATGAAACAAAACATGCCAAAAGAGGTCGGTAAGTGTGAATGGGACAATCTCGTGGTAATGGCAATTAAGGGGCAGTTGCCGCAACAAGCCCTGTCTCTGTCTAAACATTTGTATAAATATGTATAAACACACTGTCCATGTGTATGCATGTTCATGTTCGTTAAACATATATGATTATTACAATTAATTATATGTGTATGCAAGCTGCATGTCAGCCATGAATGCGACCTCATTGATTCACCCCTGCGTGGCCCCCGGTCCCACGTCGTTAGGTCCACCCGTGTGACCCGAGAGTATACAACACCGGGTGTGACGATGTGATCATATTTGAACACACTGTTGAAACGTGTGAACACTGTGAACACCTTTCAGCGCCTTTCAGCTTCACTGAGGACGCTTGGTCAACACATGTCAACACTATATATAGGTACAAGATGTTACAAGCATGCACCTGGCAAATAGGGGCTACATCGGCTAAATCTCACTAAATCTCCTCTGAGAGTGTAAGGCAAATGAACATGATATGCCGCTATGCGCTTCTTGCGCGATATATTCGATTAACCCTCTGCAACGCGTTACCTTTGCTGCCAAGACTTACTCTGATTGGGGGCTGCCGCATCTATATATAATAATTCCACATCCTATCTGCTGGGATGCCACGATTTGAAGTGTGTAGCTCTGACCTGATTCCGCGTGTTTCGTCACACTGCAAGTTGCCTCTGCACGCGTGTTCCAGCATGCTTCGCCAATTTGATGCTTCTTTGAGCGCATCTTGGACGAGCGATTTGCTCATATTTGCTCTATAGACAAGAGTCACTTGTAGACTCTGAAGGGAACTTTACGACATGTGCGATTGAATTATGTCATGTCACCTTAGTCATCGAGCTGTTTTCTGCTCACGACACGTGGTGCACCCCCAAAATCTCAAAACCTCCACCTCTCGGAAAAGCCATACATGGGCAATGGAGATTTCTTGTTGTCCTGGCCCATCCGTTTCCTTCCAGCACAGCATCCCAACCTCTTGAGGCACCGCGGCTTGCCGAAGACCAAGCGAACCAGCCGTGGCCCCACGAACGGGATACGTGCCGTCTGGGCAGGTCCCAGGATCGAAAGGGCCAGCAGGAGTGGGGGCAAAATGCAAACTGACACCAGGTAATATGCAGGATGTCCCTCGCCCCCTTGGCCGCAAAAGCCAAAGACTTTCACAGGCCAAAGTAACAGCCAAAACGACTGAACCCGGGCGGCAAAGGCTTTGCGGTCCGGAGGGAGGAGGATGAAAAGCCCCACAAACACGAGCGCCTCTATTATGGAGAGAATAGTGAGCAACCAGTGGAGCCACCCGTAAGGGACACCAAGTAGGAAGTGTCCATCGTGGATCAGTACGACAGGAGTTTGGCCTGTGAATGCTATGAATGTTGCAACCAGAATGGCGCGACTCCAGTGGGCAGCATCCGTCAATGTTCCGGTTCGTTCGACCGTCGCACGGAGCTCCGGGGTAGAGATGCTCATCTTGATGAGCATCTTCACGGTTTCTTCGACATCGGTCCTGAAGGACAAGGACCGATGTAAACCGTTGCGGCCTATGACATCCCGACAGGAGGTGTTCATCTGAGCAGGGCCCCAGGAAAATGGAGACGGGGACCTGGTTGGACCAAAGCCGTGTGCATAGAATCTGTATTGTTGCATGAGTTTGGGTTGGCTCTGGGGAAAGAATATAGATTGGCTTGAGCAAAACATACCGAAACCCATTCCCGCAAGTATATGGGTTGCTGCACGTTTGGCGGCGTTAGCATGGTTTGACCCAATCCCTGCCAGAATAATGCTGTCACTTTCGTTGCCTGACAAGTTGGACTCGAAAATATGAAGCAAAAACACAAACGCCTCGAACATTTCAAAGCAACGTGTTTGGAAAAGGCAGCAAACACATCCCTACCAAGATCTATATAGGTGTCTTTACGCAAGTTGATGTTGTGGCGCCACCGTGGAGAAAGACATAATTTTCAACCAACTGGATTGCTTTTGTTCCAATTTGTTCCAACAGTGATGAAACACACAAAAAAAAAATGTAGTCGATTCGAGTCGTATCTACAAGTACCTTGTTCACGTTAAGCTTGGGCAAAGAGTCTCATGGCCACTCTTCTTCACTTCCTCCAGGATCTTCAGCCTGTCAGTTTCGTCTGAGCAGCCTGCCTCCGACAAGTGTCCACTAAAGCCTCGGCGTAGGTCTTCTGCAGCCTTATCCGCCGACAGAGAGTTCAAGCGGTCGAGTTCCTGAGACTGAGAGGGCTGCCGGGCAACCAGCAGATCTGGGGATGGCAAGTAAGTTTTAGAGATTCGTACAACATCAAAAACCACAGCAACCCCAACATACGCTTTTCGTGTTGTCTCCTCTATCTATTTATCTATCTATCTATCTATCTACCTATCTATCTATCTATCTATATCACTACGATTACCATTACCATTACAATTACCATCATCATTACCATTACCATTATCATTATCATTACCACTACCATTACCAATATGATCATTATCATTGCCATTACCATTACCATTATCACTACCATTCTCATTATCATTACCATTATCATTATCTTTACCGTGACCATTACCATTATCATTCCACTATCATTATCATTACCACTAACACTATCATTACCATTATGATTATCATGATCATTACTATTACCATTATCATTACCATTGCCATTACCATTATCATTACAATTATCATTATCATTATATCTATCTATCTATCTATCTATCTACATTTCTATCTCTCTATATATATATATATCTCTCTTTCTATCTGTCTATCTTTCAATCTCTCATTATCTATCTATCTATCTATCTTTCTATCTACCTATCGACCTATCTACCTCTCTATCTATCTATCTATCTATCTATCTAAACAAATGTCACAAAAGAAGCAAGCTGATGTGTATGTGTGCGTGCACCTTGGATAGGAAGTGCCACGGACTCAGATGATAGCATGATGAACTGGGAGACGAGCATCGGTGACATGGTGCATTTTTCATTTCTCATTTAGAGCGGCACTCCATGCTTGCCACCTACCGTGTGGGAGCACTCACGAAGGTTCCGATCACAAAGGTCTTTGTAAAGGAGGCGGCTGGTCTTTGTGAAGGAGGGTGGTTGTTGTCTGATCAGGGTGAACCTGTCCTTGTTGGCAAACATCCACACCCTCATGAATGGGTATGCACAACTCGCTGGGTTCAGGACCATGTCCAGCTTTGCATGCCATGGTGCTGTTAACTTAGTCTAAACTCCTCCTCAGCTGAGCTTGCTGCGCAGGCTTGGGAGCTGGACCAGTACCCACAGCATCCGGTCCAACAGCCTATGGCGCATTCTGCTCATGTTGGTCGAATGGTACTCGGCCACCATGCTGTTGAAGCATCGGGTTCATGATGCTTCATGGCATGTGTGGAAGACGACTTGGTCAAACAAGTCGTAGGAAGAGTTCAGAAAACCCTGTCATGGGAAGTGGGCGATGGCTGGAGCCTAATCTTGTGACAGGACGTACAAAGATCTGAAACAAAACACCCAGAACATGGTGTGAATGACGATGGTTCCCCTGAGTCTTCTCTTTGCAGCGGAAAAGGCCAAGGGCTGGGCAGTTGGGATTTCAGAGATGGCTTGCTGCAGAAGTGGAGTTTGAGCAGCTTGAGTGTCAAGTGGGCCTTTTCTGCCGAGAAAAAGGGACATCAAATAATACATGTCGGCTGCTCCTTGCAAAGCTTTTGGCCTTCATGCTGTTTCTGGCTTGCGGCTGATGGGGTGGGTTGGGGGTGGGGAGGTGGGGGGTAATGACGTGCTTGTAGCGATGTAAGGATGCAAACTAGGATGCAGTTACACGTGCCTCACTGTGTTTTCCTTTGTGTAGTGAAGCGTGCTTATTTCAATTATAAATGCTTCTATGCAACATCCAAATCTAGTGTAAATACAATACAAATAAACTACAGCTCAGGTACCTGCAGTAAACGTTTCAGTAATGACCTTCAAGACACTTGTGTGAACAAAAACGCCTTTCCGAAGGTCTTATAAGTGAAAAAAACTTGCGCGTTGAGTTGCAAAGTGTTGCGAAATCAGAACCATTCTCATGCATATTCCCTTGGCTGAACTTTTGCATGGCTGCAAATCACTTATCATCAAACCTTCAAAGAACACGTCTTCCGCCGTTACGGCGGGAATTTTCAGGACCGAACGCATGGCCGATTCTTCAGCTCCACGTTACCTCCATCAAGCCACGGATTTGAAAGCAACCGATGTCAGCCAGGGGTCACAAAGGGGTGGTGTTTAGTCCCTAAGTGAGTGGATAATGGGCACCCCTAACCTCCATGGATAGCACCCCTTTGAGGAGGACACACTTCCGATGTCTGGTCCCACATGGAACCCGATGTCAAGGACCAGACTGGAAGACGACTGGTCTTCCTCTGCAACCGGACGTGGCTTCACTAAGGTTCCATGTGGGTCTCTTCCCGAGTGTAGGAATAGCCATGGCCTCCAACCTAATAGCTTCGATGTTGATCAATCTATGATTTGGACTGTCGGCCTTTTTCATGTTTGGGGCACGGTTTAGGGCGGTTGACGGTGCTTATCTTCCTCAGGTAGGGGTAAATATGCAAGAACACCCAAAGACGCCCAAAAGCAGCATAATGGTCTGTTGCCTTTCTCATGAGGCCAAGCAGAACAAACCGACCTATCTAATGAATAAAGCTCGATTCATGTGGGGGGGAAGCAAAAAGAAAAGCATACTCTCAGCAATATCAGCTGTCCATCGCAATGGTTCCAAAGACGCCCAAACAGATGTACTCGACGGCGAAGAGCCAGTTTTCGTCAAACAAAGCACGTCCCATGCTCACGTCGCACGCGTAGCTGACATTGGCGAAGATGGTGGTGCCAATCACTGCAAACTTCTGCAAATGAGGTTTGTATCCACCTCACTCACCAAAGAAAAACACCAAAAATACCGGAGCCAGGTGTTGCTGGTATGTTCCAAAGCCGACCAAGAATGTCAGAATGTCCCAGCCCGGCGCCAAGTCGTTCTGACGGTGATTTCTGGTGCAAAAATTGATGGATTCCGATACGCAACATAGACAAAACCGAACAGACCAAAACAAAACATGAACATGCAAGAACAAACATTGGCGGTTCATTCCTTTTGTGTTCGACCTGCGACCTCGAATCTTCTGATATTTCCTTCAGATTTGCTGAGATTCCCGATGTCCCTCGATCTCGTCCGCCATGCGAAGGATGTTGGGTGCATGTTGGTGTCCGTTCAAGGTTCAATCCAAAAGAAGGAAACAAGACCAGTAAGTGTGTAAACCCAAATCAATTGTAAAGCAGCCTTGCAAAGGGTAAGTCACCACACTGGCCAAGGGAGAGGAGGAAAAGGACCATGAATGGCATCACCAGGGTAGTGGTCGGCAAGTAGCACCTCGTTGCAAGCCTCAATGGCAACAGCAAACCTGCGGAGGCACTCACTTGGCCAATGAAGAATATCCGCAGCAAGTAGGCCCAGGCATTGAAATCCTTGCAAGCCACAAGCATAGATTCGACATATTGTATCATGTGAATTGAAACGTGAAAAATCCATCTATCCTTAAGCCTTGTCCATGGGTTGGCCGGGATTGGCCAAATTCTTGGTGCCATAGGGCCCGGCGTCTCTGATTTGAGGCTGGGAGCATATTGTTTAGCAGATTGAACCATTGCAGTGGGGAGGTGTGCACGCATATTGTGGGGCCATGTGTCTTTGCGCTAGACGGCACTTAAATAAGCCTCACATGTTGGTTGTCTTGGATAAATGCTGAACCTTTGGGTAGTCTCATAGGGTCCAAGTACCTCCTTGTTGGATAGTCTTGGAGGCCAAAGTATGAATTGCCTTTCTGGGGGCCCAGGACAATCCTCAGGATGGTCCTGGACCCTTTGGGCCTGACAAAAAAATGCACAAGCAAATTGAGCTTCAAGCGATGTTGCATTGGTGATGGGCTTGTTCCAAGTATAAGCCAGGAAGGCCTCGTAGACACACCAAAGTCTCGAGTAGATGCTACATACGCGATTTGGGACTGCAATGACATGCCTGCAGGAGTCCAATGCCTTTGCAAAGGGAGATTGCTCAGGTGTTGAAATCAAATCGGCAATGTCCAGGTTCTGAGGATTGGATAAGAAGCACACGTACGCCGCTCGCCCACCCTGGGGCCAGCTTGAAAACACCTTGTCAATAAACTCAAAAACTCCTTCCGCCCAAGCGTGGGTGATGAAAACGTCGCATGGCAAGCCGCTGGGATGTTTCATCAAGGCCCAGCTCACATTTCCAGCAGCAGCCGTCACCGGCTTGATGTACTGTTCGGTCACCGTGTACATCGAGGGGCCGATGCTATAGTCTGTGGGGTCAAATGGATTCATCCTGTGGCGGGTTTTTCTCCCAGCAAAATGGCACAAGGTCGAGACACCACAAGTCAATGGTAAAGCTTCACTAGATATTTTGGGGGTCTCCTCAAAATTTGGTACGCTGTCAAAAGGTTAAATGATTGATGTCCAAGTGTAGCCCAAGGCTCTCAGTGGGGCTGATGCGACCGTCACTCACAGCTTGACTCACCAGTCGCTTAAACTGCTTGAGGTCCTCAAGGCTAATGCACCAGCGTTCCATTGGAACTTCTGCCTGAGCACGGTTGCAACTCGTCAAGAAGTGTGAACAGTTCATTAACTTCTTCGGGAAATCGCTACTAGAAGCCAACTTTGGACAGGTTGAATCAGAATCCTTGTGGAACCCCCATATGTTCACCTCTTCTCCGGCTTCAATTCTTGGACCAAGAAATCGCCAGTTGCAGATTCAATGGCGGTGGGTCGAGTTGCGTGCAACTTGGCACCATCAAGGACGAGCGATGAGTTCTCAAGGGCAGAGTCCCCGCTCTTGATCCTCCAAGCTCGGGGTTGCCTATGGTGAATCACCAAGGTCGTTAGCAAAATGCAAAGCCTCACTGGTCCAAACTCCAAGTGTAAAAAGTGCAACCCTTGACCCTCGAAACCAAAAGTAAAGAGACAAAAGGCTGAACACTCACCTAACTTTGGCCATATATCATATAAGATTCAAAGCTTGTGCTAAGGTGACCTGCGCACAGGTTGTCATTGATGTTCTTTGTGGACCACACGCAGTGACGCCGTTGCCAGGACAGCATCCGAAGCGAAGTTCTGGCTCTGTGAAGCTGTCAATTTGTGGCCAGAAGCCTTCGGCACACGGACAGTCCTCAAATGAGCTGATCCTTACTGATTGACAGTGCCGTCAATCAAACGTGCCGTCAATCAAACGTATTCTTCTCTAAGCTTTCAGAAGAACCTAGCTTAAGGAATCAATCCTACCATCACAAATACCATGATTGACGAAGCTAAACTTTTTCGACCCCTGCTTGTGCAAAATGCGCATTAAGAAAACAGTTGAAAGCATCTCTTATGCCAAGTGAGGATCTGACATAGAGACCCCGGATCTTGGCATAAGTCCTTGCGAAAGTCCTTGCATTTGCCTCCCAGACCAGATCTCAGGAATGTAATGATCAAAAATATGGCCAAAGCCATTCGCTGGCAAGTCTTGGAGGACTCTATGAATCAGCTCTTCCTAGCTTCCTCTTCTTTGGCACTCGAAGCAAACGCTCCTAAACCCAGTTCAGAGCTCCATGAAAGCACGGAACTTGCCAAAACAGGCACTATAGTTACTGTACTAGATTCGAGCCCCTGGATGCGGCGCGCAGTTGTCAAACTGCCAACAGCACAGAACTGGAGATGTTGTCTCAAGTCACAGGGCTGCAAAGGCACATGTGAATCAAAAGGAATGATAACACAATGATGAATACCCCAGTGCTTAAAGTGGCTGATAGTTCAAACGCACCTTATCTATCCTCATCTACTGAAGATGGTACCAAAACGTGTACCGGCCCTCGGGGAGGAGCACCCCGAGTTGGTCCGATAGGTCCGCCAGGCTCGGCACGCAGTGCGCAGCGCTGCCAAACGAGCCCAGTACTCCCCATATCTCCTTACAAAGGTATATAGACACATATATCTACATGTGTATAGGTGCATATATGGATGCACCTATGAAAGTGTATTTTTTAAAAACACACACATACACACACACAAATATATATATATATATGTATATAAATATACATAGTTATAGAAATATATAGATATCAAAAAATGACTATGCAACATCATTACCACCACCGCCACAGTTCAGCGCCATCTCCTTCTTCGTAACAGGTCACAGCTTCACCCCTTCACCGTGCCGTTGGTGGCCGTTCCTTGCGCGCCGCGCAAGCGCCGCTGGCGCCTGCGCTGGAGCTGATACAAGGCATGACGAAGCTCTTGAAGAAACATGGCCTCGATGGTGGACTCGTTGAAGCCTTCTCAGCGGAGAAGGCACGGATTCAACATCTCTCTCATGACCCCTCCGTGGTCGCACACTGGTTTGGGGCACAACTAAAGTGCATTAGCTGAAGCGCTCTTGGGAGCACTCCCTTTTGCTGACTCAAAAACCTTGGGTTTTAAATGGTTTGAATGAGCCTCATGCGTTCGAAGAGTCATATGTTCTGCTTCTTCCTAGATCTCCATATGCATCTGTCCCCTCAAAGCATCCCTGACATCTGACATCATGCATCTTTAGAATTCTTTATATAGACCCCAAATCGATAGAAAAGTAATTAATCCCCACGTAGAAAATGTGTTGGACACCGTGCAATCCTATCTATGACTGAGAATCACTATAGACATCAACGCAACATAGGTGATTCTCAGTCATAGATAGTGAGGACCTATGCTGGATTGAAGGTTGAGTGGGTTGACCTTGCTGAGTTGGAATGACCAGGTGATGATCAGGAGATGAAGTGGCGAAGGGCCCACGGGTGAAGCGAAAGAAGCGTCCAGAAGGCTATGGGTGGGTGGCCAGGCTGTTTGAACGAATGCTTCAAACCTACATATGCGGGCCGAAAATGACATCAAATTACTTGTTGAAGCTGTTTGAACATCAATGAAGCCTGAAGAGTCAATCGATTTGCCTATCATGGTTGCCTCTAGTTTGGCTGACCCCGATACCGGATGATACTCAAGCCGGATCACATGCAATACATTCCACCCTGACACCGACAGCTCAAACAAAGCAGTCACGACGGCATTGACCCGCCTTCACTTCGAAACAGGTACGGCCTCCTGGGCGGCAAGGAGCCCAGACTGGTGACGCCAATGGCGAGCGCCAGGCACTCTTGGTGACACCCCGAAACGGATGGAGGGCGAATTTGTTTTTTTTGCGCGACATCGGCCAAAGGAAAATGCCCAGGAGGTGTGGCTTCGGCAGCTATATGATTCTATATGCCATCCAAGCTGAGTCCCAGACCCCCCTCTCCGCCACTGGATGTGAGTGAATCGGACCGAGCACATCGGCGGAGCAACGAGCAACGGGACATCCCCACAGAATGTCCTTCGGGGAAGGAGCAGCGGTTGATAGAGATCTTCAGGATACATGGGCTACCAGTGACAGTGAGCACATCGGCGTGCAATTTGACCGAGGGCGACCCACTCTCGAACCACTTCCCTAACGCCCCTAAGCTCTCTAAAATGAATCCAGAAAATAAAGCAACATCCCATGAAGTGGGAACAGGTGGGAACCACAGGGACCCCCTTCTGGGTCATCTGTCCTGCTCCAAAGGCCACCTGCCCTGCGCCGAGCGTCATATGGATGGCCAGGTAGGGCGTTGGAAGGCCTGAAACTGGGTGGAGAGGTTCCTACTGAGACTCCACCGCTCCCTGGTGCTGAACAACCGCATGGTGGTGGTTGGACCCAAACAAGAATCTGAAAAACAGCATTCTGCATGTCCAAGACCCCATTCCTTTTTGCCTCCAGCCACATCAAGGTTGGGCTAGGTTTTCTCAAGCTTTTTGTGCTTCCTAGGCTCTTCTTGGGAGCTTGCCCCATAGACGTCTACCTGATCACAGCTTGATGGACAGTTTGAACGGCAACTTGGAATAATAGTGCAGCCGCGTCTTGATCTTCAAAGTGATGCCGATGCCAACAAACACAAAAACATGCGGTCTTCACGGGTTTCAAGGTCCTCACATTCTTAAATGTAAAACAATCTGTTTGGAATTGTTCTGTCATGTTCAGTCTCAATGAGAAAACCAGTCTTTCGCGGGGCTCCCGGGCCTCTTCTGGTCCTGATATTCGATGTTCGATGTTCAGACTGGGTCGCCACCCGTCGCGCAGGTCGCGAGATTCTTACCTGCAACCGCCCATCCGCCAGAGGCGATCCGCCCGCGAAAAACGCCCCCACCTTGGATCCAGTGCACCGCTTGCGTCTCAACCTGGAAGCGAGCACCACTTCCATCACTTTTACGTATAACGTGGAAAAACATCCCATAGAAGGCAACAGCCTTCTCACCAAGGCTTTTGATGGTGTTGGGGCGGTTCTTCTTCTGGTCATATATGCGCTCGGCCTTTGGGGCCCAGGTTCCTTTCGGACACACACTTAGTGTTGAGGTGTTTGGGGGAGTAGGTCACTCTGGGGACCATGATGCAGGACGAATCACTTAAGACCCATCTTCAGACCCTTCTGGGGGGAGCTTCTGGCGCTTCTGAGGGTCTCAAATGGCATGAGAAGCTTCACTTCCCCGGTGGGAACTTCACTTGGAGGCTCTTCGTGTCTTGCTGATGGCATGGACTCCTGAAGTGAGAGCCTCCAAGTTCCACCGAAGAGTGCACTGCTTTTGTGCCGTGGTCGGAACCCCCCAAGACTGCACCAGACTGCACCAACAACAGGCCATGAATCCCATGAACATCATTTTGGGCTGGGGGGGTTCGCCTTTGTCTGAGCCTACTGAGTGATCTCTGACAACCACAAGAACTAACTGATTATGAAGGAAGATTCTATGGATGATGCTGCTGAATGAAGACCTGAAAAGAAAAACACATCGTGCTCAAGTCCAACTCCCTGCGCAAAGGGCACAAGCCCTAATTTGTAACTGGTTGGTGGTGTCAACTCACTTGAAAAATATGAGTCAGTGGAAATCCATCATCCCAAGTAAAGGTTGAACCATGTTGAACATATTCATATACATAAAACATATCAGAAACCATCACCCAGGTAAGCTGGAGAGACATTCGGACACGATTCGGACGCAATTCATTGCGGCTCGCCTCCTCGACGAAACGAAAATTCCGGAAGAAGTGCAAGTGATCCTGGTGCATGGGGGAAACAACTAACGGGGGAAGCAAACAAGATATCTCAAAACTGCATTGTCAAGGTGTTTCAGTTACTCGATGTTAGATATCACCTAAGCAGCTGATCCCCAATCATGCCTGGGTTCTCAAAGCTAAAATATCCGATTTAATCAAAACTGCACAACTCGGATGAATTCAAACATGCACACGCGCCCTACTTCACGGATCGTAGTCATGACATCTTTGATCCCCGTGTCCAAACTGGCTGGGGGGACTTGGGGGCCAATTTATAGATATAAAGTGGTGAAGCTAACGTGCTGACATATAATTTGACTGCGCTGACCATTTTTTGGCTCTCTATGATTTGACTTGGACTGACGTCACAGTTATGTCCATCACCACTGTGGATAGAGCTGAGAACTGCTGTCATCAGTGCCTTCATTTTTTCTCTGCGCTTCTGATCTCTTCAATGATCCATGCGCCCGCTTCCCGGTGCACGTCCAACATCAGGAGCTCTTTGGGCACAATCCCCCCAACAACCCAAAAAGATCAAGGAGGATCTTTGGTCATCCCAAAACATATCCAAAAATATTCAAAAATCAATCAATACATAACAACTTTGGTATGCTCAGAACATTAAATCAAAAATAATCAGATATAGCCAGAGAAAACCAACATGGAAACATGATGAACTAAGGGAATCCCAACAGACCCTTACTGATCCTGTGAAACTGCATCACTTCAAACGCAACAGACATGAAAAGACTGTATATCTAATTACACCTACGTACATCTATGAACAATCTGGGAATTCACATAGCTCACGCAGGAGCTTCAACCACGAAGTCCGAATTGGAGGCTGGCTGGATAGTTGAGAACGGATGTTCTGAAGGTAGCCGTAGACCTGGGAGCCCCAAATATCTCTGGACCTCATACGGAACTCAGCCATGAAGAAGTTAGGCGCCCTGTCAAGGATCTTGTCCCACGTCACACCGGCTGCTGCAGCACACCTGGACTCTCATTTGATAACTTCCCAAACAAAATACACATGTTCAAAATTTTTAGATCTTTCAAGTCAGCAACTACCAAAAAAAAATATTTAAAAAATCAAAAAAATATGGCCAAAAAAAATCATTGCGCAAATACAAGATAATACAAGTCTAGATACTGCAAACGGCAAGCTCCAGTGTCTGCTGCGAAGGCCGGCTTCGCTGCAAACGCTGCCCGATCCAGGTTGCGAAGAGCTGACATCTGCTCACGAATCAGCTTGAACCCCGTGGATGAGCGGGTAAAGTTTTGAGGCACTGGCTCGATGGACACACTCTTCTGCTTCAACGCGCTCTTCTTGACTGGCATCACGGAAGGCTTGGAAGAGGCTGACTTCCCAGGCACCCCTTTGGAAGCCTTTTTCTTGGCAGACTGGATAGACTTCACAGCCCGAGCTGCAACCTTGAAAACGCGCTTTCGCCTGATCCTGGGCGCTTTCTGAGGACCACCGGTGAGCCATGTCCCGGCTACATGCTTTCCCGCGCTCTTGGTTGCAGCAACAGACTCTTCAGTCAGCTCTACGTAGAAGGTCTCAACGCACTCATAGGGCTTCCGCTTGCCTCAGCTCCAAGAAGACAACGTTGGCAGGTGACATATCTAATAAAATCTAAGAAACATTATCATACATGATCTAATACTTGGTCAGGTCTTTTGAAGGCAGTCCCAAGTATTGATAGACAATGATAGAAGCTAGAATGAGAGAAGCGTTTCTATAAAATGACTTGACCCAACCCTGATTCAGACCATAAAATCAATAGCTACTAGCGAGATGTGGCTAGCAAAGACACTGCGTCTAGTGGTCTTGCCATTGAATCTGATGTCCTGTGGTTTTGTATCTCATGCAAGGGTTGGGAATGGCTTTTTATAGAACAAAAATGATCAACACATGCTGGTAAACCTGTGGCTAGGTACTTTCCGGCTTGCAATCCAGGATGGCCACAAGCGCGTCAAACGGATAGACTCTGCAGGGACTCTCTCCCGTACACTTGAACTCTGTGGAATCTTCCTCCGGCTGAATGGTGAAAACATAAATCAAACAATATCAAAAATATTCAAAAAGCTATAATCAAAAAAACATCAAAGAACATGCTGGTGAGAATTGGTAAAAGAACGAAAAAATATGAAAAAATAGAACCCCGAAATCAATTACAGTAAAAATATTTTCAAAAATATCTGATAAAATAACGAGAAAACAAGAATAAAAAAATTGTACTTTGAACATATATTTATGATTTTTTATGCAAATTAAAAATAAAAAACCATGAAAAGCCTAACGCAGTCATATAGAAGGTCCTGATTCTGCGTCAACTCCACAGCGCGAAAAGCATGGCAACCGGTCAAAGAACATGGGGTCACCACGATCTTCTTCTTCTTACCAGCTTTCCACACCGTTGTTACCAGGCCGGTCTTCATGGTACCATCTTGGCGAACGTAGATGATGACATGGCCTGACCTTACCGGAGTCATCCATGTTCAACAAAAACAGCCAACTAAACCTATAAAATCCTATAAAGAAACATTTTTTATCAATTTTCAGGATTCCAGGAGACTAAGGGACATCAAAAGGACACAAGACATGCAAAGAGTTTTCCACCCAATAAAAATACTTTGCACGTCCAAGTTACTGCAAGCTTTCAGGCTGTTGTAAACCACCAGCAAGAGCCTCCCGCACTACTTTGCCCTGTGAAATCCAACGCTCAAATCTGGAACTGCGGGCGCCTTGTCTTGAGAGAGGGTTCGACTCTTGAGCTGCCCTGCTGAGGATGTGAAGGTTCCTTTGATACCAGCCTGTCTTCTCCGAAACGGTGTTTGGCTTTCCAGGCAGCCACGCGCCATCAGCCCCGTCCACACCACACCTCAAAAAGACGGTGTAGCGCCACAGCGCATTCCATCGGTTGCCTCCACAGTTCCTTAGAGTAGGGACTGGGGAAATATAAAGAATTCATGGAAGTTGAATGAAGTTGACATATAAGGACATATATACTAAAAAAATCTAAAAAAAGAATCTAATAGTTCCAAAATAAAAACATTAGATGAGGAATGACGAGAAGCATGGCATATTCAAGGGTCCGCGGATACTTTTGGGAAGACCCGAGCTTGCCTTCTTTCTCCACACGCGCACTCTCCATCTTCTCCAAGAAGCTCTTGCGATCAGATTCATCAAGACGCCTCAGATCTGTTTCCTTCATGGAAGGCTCTGGCATTTCCTCTGCACTACCCTGGTCCTGACAAAGTCTCTGGATTTCCACCAATACATGCTTGCAGCTCTCTGCAGTCGTCCTGGGAAAGCTAGTGGGTCAGATCTAGGTTGTTTGGCTTCGAACTCAAAACAAAAACAAAATAGAAAACAATGGCAAGATATAGACAATGACTCAAAATTTTAACATATTAAATTAAAAACTTAAAAAAATAAAAAGTAAAACAGGTCAGGATGCGGAGTGCGAGCACTGCGCAAAGCGTCGTCTTCATTGTCGCTTTCTTGGTCGTCTTCACAAAACTCTGGCGCAGCTTGTTGCATGGTCTGGAACCAGTTCACGCTGCAGCATTCTGTGTAGTACTTTTTTAGGGAATCTGCTTCGAAGCCACCAGCCCAAGATACAAGTGCAACAGCTGAGTCAAAGGCTTTCTGGCAGCAACTCTGAAACCTGAGTTGAGACAACCAATAGAAAACAAAATGCAAACAAAAACAAATCAAATTCACCAACCGCTCAGACTTCACACATCTAGGTGAAAAAATATTACATAGTAGAAAAAACTTGGAACATTAAGCAATCGGGTGACTGTTTCTCAGTCAGGGCAGGCTCCTCTACCTTTTTGCTATTCGATGGGCACTCAGCCTTGGCCATCTTCTGCAAAGCATATAGGGCGCTCGTCCTGACAAAGGTCTCAACGGACAGCTCTGCATTCGCCTGGGATTGGCGAAGGTGGCCAAATGATTGCTCAATCGTGATCTCACTCATTCTCAGGGTTCCCCACATCCACGGGGTCCATGAAGCCTCACCAATGCTGTATAGGTTTTCAAAAAAAACATTCAATCATATATCTCTATAAAATGCCAGGACAGACCCTGACATCACCTGTGAAATCGTTAATGAGCACAGGATATATAGTAGTTCATTGCAATCCCAAAAAGTAATATCATATATCAAAAGATATAGAATCATAAATATATACAGTATATAAATAAGTGAGCTCTATAAAATGACCTGCTCCACCCCCTGAGTTGCTGTAAATCCTCTAAATTCTTTACTGTTTTTTTTCAAGTTGCTGGCTTGGTGAGGAGGATAGTTAGGACGCTGAGGCAAACATTCTGCAAATTCTCCACGGTGACGGCTGCCATGGAGTATTCACCTACACGTGCACCTTCCTGACTTTCCTTCCTTGCAGCTGTGAGCTGCCAAAGATCCCAAGCCAAAAAGCCAGATAGAGCGCATTCAGCTCGCTCCTTCACAGTCAACCCCTTGTGTAGTGAGGGAGCCACACAGAGCGCAGTGCTCAGGCTCCATAAGAGCGCTCCCTTGTTTGACCAGTTCACGCTCAGCATGCTGGGATCACCGTCCATGTTGCACACGTAATACCACGGACAAGCCAAGAATGCCTGCAGGCAGTCTGACTGCTGGTCTATGCGCATGAACGCTTTTGCTGGCATGCCGTTCATATAGCTTCCGGCCAGGTCAACCCAATGTTTTCCTAGAAAGATCGTGCGAATGCACGAGGAAACCTGACCCCCTGCATTCTTTCCTGCGTGGCCTAAGATAGTCAAAGATGCAAAAAACATTACAAAACATTACAAAACCAAAGTAGAGAAAATAGATTGTGGGGCCATTGAAAATCTTTGAATCAAATATCAACAAACATCTTCAGCTAAAAAAAATAAAGCCACATGGGGCAGGCAATGCGCAAAATGCCTCTCCCTCGAAAAACGCCAACTTAATGGGTAAACGTGGGAGTATGTGTTCGGGCATCGGCTT